TGTTTTTTTTTTTTTTTTTTTTTTTTTTTTTTTTACTCTTTTTGACATATATTAACATTGACAACATACATTGCTTCAGAAAAAGTTTGATCCGATGTCTCCCTGGACCTTGAAGGTTGTAGCTAACTCAGAAAAAATTCTTACCAGAATGCATTTCAAAGAGGCTGTTAGTGAACTTTACTTACCGCAACACTGAGGTGATGGAAAAATTGGCTGCTGACGAACTTGTCCGAGTTATTGTACTTGTCAGATGGGAGAAGTTCACATAACATTCTTCTGTTGATGTCCAAAAATGCAGCCAGGTTATAGGAGAAACATGACGGCATGTTAAAACAGGCAAAACCGCATTCTGTTCCATTGAGGACGTAATCAGTACCAAGACTTGTGATGTTTAAGTAAGAGAACCTGTGGGCCTTAAAGTTGACAAAGGTGATGTCGTTGTGAACCCCTCGGCTGACACTTTTACCAAGTGCATCTATAGAATTGGTTTTACCTGTGTTGATTTCAATCGCATAATTCAATTCATTGAAAGAATCGGTACGAAGTTTCTGAAACATTCTAAGAAAGGTTTAAATTAGATGCAAGAATAAGTATTTATTTAAAAATTTAGAGAAAGAATTATACAACGATGCCTGTTGAATATTTCAAGGAACAAAATGATATCGTCAAAGCCAGAAAGCCTCCAGAATATAGGAAAAGCTCCGTTCGCAACATAGCTCCGAACTTCCGCCTTTCCGCGAACGATCTAACTGAAATGTGACGAATGAAAAGGCACTCGTATTTGTTTATAGAAGTGATATTAAAATTTTATCATCCTGATATCTGCCCACTGAAAGTGAAAAGGATCATTTTACATTTTTATAGTTAAATTATTAACGAAGTTTAAAATTAATATTCTGCGCAAGTACTACCTAAAGGAAAGAGATTACTCATAATATTATATAGTCACTATTTCATTTCCTAATGTAAAATAATCTTATAAGAAACGATTTGGAAATACATGGAACAGGAAATATAAGTGATAGAAACCGACGTTTCGGTGCATCTTGCGCCATTATCAAGGTTGCATAATTAATTAAAAAGCGGTTCGTGAAGAGGATTTGCATAAGAGAGTGCCAAACTAATTACATGAATACTTTAGCACGAAGAGAATCAGACTGTACATTCAGTGCTGGTTTAAGATCTTGAATACAAAGCATTTCATTAATGCTTAATGCTTAGCCTCTTCACAAACCGCTTTTTATCTTTAATTATGTAACCTTGATAATGGCGCAAGATGCACCGAAACGTCGGTTTCTATCACTTATATTTCTTGTCTAAAATAATCTTAATTATGCTTTTTTTTTTCTTTTTCATCTTTTTTGTACTCCATACTCAACATTTGAAACGGAACGTAAGAACAATGCTCATTATTTTTTCATAGATGACAAACATATTTTCTACAATAGTGGCTTTTGGTTGGGCTTTATTGACAAGGTGGTTTCGAAGTCTGCAATCTTAAATATTTTATGAAAATTTCAAGAGAAATTTGAAGTAGTTTTCAAATATATTGTTAAACTGATTTCCATGGAGGGGAAAGTAAAGTAACATGGTGGATAATTTTCGTGGGGAAAATGCTGTTAATTTGTATTTAGGAAACTGACCGAGCGCAATCCAATGCATGGATCCATTCCGTGACTGTAACTAATTGTAACGTAAATACTATTAAGACGTTTTAAAGAGGATATCAGTGCTGCCTCCCTCAGAAACCTGTGAGCTAAGGTCTGTAATAGCGCACGGACAGAGCCACTCTACTGTTTGTAGTGTCACAAATGTCATTCCTATTTACTGAAAAAAGGAGCTATCCTAGCTTAAATCTTAGAAAGAATTCTCGATCTGAAGAGGAAAAAACTTAATAGACTTTTCCCGCATTCCACTTCAGTGCGTTCGAACAATGGCACCAGAGCGAGGTTGGAGTATTGTATTTTTGTCCACCGTGACTTCGACTTGGCGTCATTGTTTGCTGGAATGCGGGAAAGGTCTATTGTCGCATTCTTAAACTAATTCTTTGTGAGGTAAGCATTGATCATGAAGGAAATCAGACGAAATCTTATTCAAACCCCTAACGCAGATTTTGTAAATGTTAATCCTAGCAGATTATCTTCAGGCATACAAACACGATTTAAAAACTTTACTGAAGTATATAATTAAACAACCTTGTAGGTCCTCTAAGTTTGAGAAGCAATTTTATTCAGTTCACTTGGTGACAAGTAAAGGACAAAAGTTAAATAAACACCCACGATTTCCACAAGTTTCTTGTTTCCTGACAGGATAAGCACCGCATTACTCTTGATCTTGTGGTGTCAACACTTATCTTTTTAATATCATTGGTAATTACTGACCAGAACTGGTCCGTCATCACTTTTAATAAAGACAAATGCGGCCATGTATGATCTTTTTTGTCTCTGATCATTAAGTCGCCAATTTTGTTGACTCTTTTTCAAACAGGGTTACAGACATGTTCAGTCAATGGGCGTGACAACCAACTCACCCTCCCCATCCCCTAATCCTAGCAGTTATCCAATCGCATTCTTCTGAATCATGCAGAGCTCATAAACGCAGGTCCTCAATATAAAACGCACGCAAAAAAACTTAGAAATTATAAACATAAAAAAGAAACCGCCCCAGTCTTCCCGCAAATTTACTAGTCTTTAACTGCTTGGTGAAACTTTCTGAAATTCAAATCACGTTCACTCATTACTATTCATATTTCAACTTCACCTTCGCACGCGGTAACTACCAAGTGAAGGGAAAGTAAAGTTACATTGATTCTCAGTTTAATAATCTTCAAGAAACTAGTTCACGCGTTGAAAATGTACGTATTGAACGACGACAAAGAGGCTTTTGTCTTACCGTGTACTGAAAGGGCAGTGAACAAGTGAATGTACCTATTTGCAGAGGAGGTGAACGCTTCAAGCACACCGTCCGTAGTGTCGAGGTAACTCATTATAGTTTCCTTACATTTAGTCTTCTCTGTGCATGTTGTTTAAAGAAGATTATTTCTTTACTTGTAATATTCGCACCGTGTGCGAATTCAAAAGGGTTTGCTCCACTACGTCGAAACCGAAGTTTGTATGTGCATGCCTTAACGTACGTTGTTTACGTGGAATAACATGGTTGAAATTGAGCGAGTTGTACATAATTCCGTCCTTTTTGACAACCCTGATTTAATGAAATCTAATTGTTTTTTTCGGGTGAATCTTTTTTGTGCCCGAAGCAAAAATGAAAATCTGTCATATACGCGATTTTTTTCCATTCACTGAATATCCGTAATAGTGATTATTTTCCTCAAGAAGCTTCCGTTTCAAAGATCGCGCTTGGACTGTTATGCAAAACAAATTGCTCATTCCTCGCTGTATCTGATGCAAGATATATTCCTATACTTGAAAGTCATTCAGTGTTTCTAACAAGTAAAATATGTTATATCCCGACAGTGACTTGATTTTTCCCAGTGGCAAGTGTGTCTGTTCCCGAAAGTTCTTAATAATTAGCTATTGACGTGCTTCCTACGTTTAATTTTTTTTAGGACTTAAAAATTTTCCGAGGAAGGGGGGTGGAAGGCGTGAGGATGTACATTTTCAGGAATTTCACGAATCATCCATTTATCTCCTTTATTTTTGGAGTCATATTCTCGATGTCTTGGCAAGATTGTACCTTGTGCATCAACAAGCAAATCACCGAAAGGTAACAAAAGTATTGTTTGTGTTAGTTTATAGCAGTGCCGGATACCATTTTCAGCAACGGGAAGGGGAGAGCGAGGGTGAACTTTCAGTAATTTGAAAACTTGTTTGGTTGGCACGAACGATGGCAGTCTTGATTAAGACGCTGGATTTGTATGGAACCCATGCACTAATCGTAATATTAACCAGACTGAAATGGTCTTACATAGCGTAGCTAGATTTGTCTCGCACGGCTATTCCAGATTAAGCCATGTTACTCCTATGATTAAACAACTCGGATGGCACACCCTCAAACAACGTAGATTATTGTCCAGATTAACCATGTTCTACAAGATTCATCGAGGCTTAATGGGCATTCCACTTCCATCTGAGGTGTTCCCTCTGGACAGGGTATCTCGACTTCCAAATGGTTTACGCTGTTGCCACTTTCCGTGCAGCTGTAATGTCTATAATTTTTTTTTTTAATCCAAGATCTGTTGTGGCATGGAACCAACTACCCTTAAGTAATTTACCATTACAGAGTATCTCTATTTTTAAAATCAACAATTTTGCCCACTATTAGATCTTTGGAGTGATTTCACTTATGTATTTATATACGTATTTATTGATTGATTTATTTATCTATCTCTTTGTTCATTCATTCATTTATCTATCTATTAACTTTTCTGTTATTCGATCACTTAGATAGGTAATTTATTCATATACATGTGAACTAGATTTCATTAGTATTTTGATGTTTAGTCCTATTACTAGCTAGGTTAGAGTGTTCTTAAGTTTAATTTAGATTTTATTATTGTAAATGTAGATTTTTGTTTAACTTAACTTCAAACCTTACAGTATAATTTTTACCTTTTTTTTTCAGTTTTTAGTATCCAATTAAAGCGTTAAAGATTATCTTAAAGCCTGGAACTAGCCGAAAGCCAAAAGATAAGTAATTTATTCGTATCGTAAGCTGGTCTTTAGCCGAAGGGTGTGGATGTTGAATACTGAAGGTTTGTCAGTGTTGGATATGTGGCGAAGTAACGTTTAAGGACGTGTAAGCGAGGTGAGTCTGCAAGGAAGTATTCAGGCCTCACTACCGCTTGATTTGTTTTGCACTTANTTTTTTTTTTTTATAGTGAGAAACCTCTCGGTAATGGTAGGCTATATATTATAGCGGAGTGTATGGCGTGTAATCATTTTGATTTTTAGAGTTCGAAAACCATCCCTTCACTTAGTTGTCTTGTTTAGTGGGGAAAGGGGGAGAGGGGATTGCAGTTTGACACTAATCGAACCTGACTTTGCTTTGCTGTAGGACAATTATCAACTAAGACAGGAAAACCCTTCTCAAGGAAAAATTATGCAAATGAGAAATTTTTGTATAGCCGACACAAACCCAAAAAAGTAACAGGGTGTTTTCACACCTTCCAACACACAAATCAATACACCGTTCAATGAGAAAATTCATAGTGAACATTTTGACCAGGGGCCATATATCAGTTGATGAAACCAACTGAGGGGGCGGAGGGATGGACATACCTTCCCCCAAAGAAAATTTGAAAATCTAGATTCTCCTAGATGTTATACGTGGTATTTGAAACCAGAAGTTGGTTGAGCCTTCGTATGACACCTCCCCCTGGATTCGTATATTCTTGTCAGTTGTATCTCCGAGTACAATTTCGGGGCCGGTTAAATAAATCTTGACATCAGTACTTTTCATTTCTTTACATATATGTGAAGGGCACCGTATTAGACGGGATAGCTTGGAGAACTGGAAACAGCGAAGACGGCAGAAGATTGGATGATAACCATATAAGGTACGTTTTAAAGATTTATTGATTTTTGTTTAAAGTGCCCCATGATCAAATTCTCGATATCCATTTATTTACATTTTCGTGTACAATAGGTCTTTCCTAGATATCTTGCTAAATTTCAATCTATCACGAACATTAGAGCTGACGTTTTTTGGACCTTTATTTCGGAGAATTTAAGACCACTATGAGTTTTCCTTGTTCCAAGTCTTAGTTGAGAATTGGAGTAAATGACGTCGTATTCTCAAAAATGCCACACGGGTTGAAATTTTAATAATTATAAAGAATAACTCAACCTTTGGCTCTTATATCCGTGCAATTTTCTACACAAAATGCTAAGAGCCATATTATAAGTGCATAACTGAAGGCCAACCACCCTAACGTAAGTTGGTGAGCTGTAGGCTTGGGATAACAGACTTTTGGTACTTTTGGACTCCATATGAAACCAAATGAAACAGAGCCTACAAGGTCATTATGAAATCAACCTTCCACCATCATTTGTCGGCACTAAGCAACGACTTTTATCAGTTAGTCAGCTGCCAGAAATTTCAGTCCTAAACATCATGCTTCTGTCCATTTCCTAAGTTTTCTCCAATGCTTAGCAAGAAAGGATTGATCTTTTTTGCTTTCTCCGACAGTTTCTGGATGACTGATTTCATTAACAATGGAGCAACTAACGAAGAGATAGGAAAGGAAGTTACCTGTGTCAGTTGCAAATTGTAAGTACAGTTTTCTTTTTCAGTAATTAACGATTATTCCTTGGAGACTGGGACTGTTTCATGTATTGTTAAATGTTTCCTGGGGACAATTTTAAGTTTCTTGTTAAATGTTCTGACTTGTTTTATTTGTTTGTTTGTTTGTTTTGTCCAAGAGTTTGTTCTGCAACGTCTTAATTAGGGCCTCTCCTTTTTTTAAATCCTCTTGGGTGACACAAAGTGAACATTTTCAGTAGTCTTGAAATAGCTACTGAATTGTTTTGGAATCTCTCACCAGGCTGTCAACACTGTAAAAAAAATGTTATTGCAATTCTCTGTGTTTGATATTCTGAATTTTGGATGACTGCATGGTCCTTTCCAATTTCCTTTAATGATTTGACTCATCCTGGCTGGATCTCTAATACTGTCAGCAAGAATACAGTTATTTATTAAAACGCTTATTCTAATAGTTTGTGGACGATTCAGGATGATGGAACAGTTTGCAAGGATTTGGAAAGAGCGTCTTTGTTTATTTGCAGCAGGTGAATATAGTTTCTTCTCTAATGTTCCAAAAAATGTTTCCCTTTTGAACTGGGAGTCGGTTAAAAACCATGCACCGGATAGCCTCCTTCAAGGCTAAGGGCAAGGGCCCTGGCAAGTCATCTGCCAGATAAATAAAAAAAAAGTATTTAAAGATAAGACTTGCCCAGTGGAAGGAAAATTTTCAGAGCTGCATGCATGCTTGTCCAAATGGCATTTAAGCTGGATATTTCAAGTTTTTTTCAAGCCCTGATCATGTAATGCTTCTTTCCAGAGAGATTAGGCTGAAGCGTTGCGCCATGTCCCTGCAAATAACGGCTGATCGAGAAGGAGACTATACATCAGCTAATTTAAAGGAAGAGTTTGTAATCCGCCGTGTTAACCTTATCCATCCTTAACCATCCTTGTTTCTTTGTGGTTTATTATTATCTCTTAGCTGTTTTTCTATCTTAGTAACCTGCTATTTTCAGGTTTCCTTCAATTTGATTTTGTACATGGCCAAAATAACTCAAAATACCTTGACTGAACTCCTTTAACTATTTGAATGTTTACGGATCGCGACAGTAATTTAGTGGGGTTTTGTAATAATCATGCACAACGCCAACCATTCACCTTTGGTTGATGATATGAAATCCAACACTGGCTGGGCCAGGGATAGGGGGACAACCTTTTATTTCATTATAAACCAGACCCCATACAGGTGCAACGTCATAAATGAATCTCCCACAATCATTTGCCAGTGCTAAGGAAAGATTCTTCTTTAAAGTACATTAATTATACCTGCAACAATAATGCAACAAGTCAGCTGCCAGAAATTTTGGTCCATGATTCTCAGTTGTTAACACTGTAATCTCCAATAACGAGCGAGAAAGGATTGATTTATTTGCTTTTTCCTAAAGCTTCTGGGTGACTGATTTCAATAACAACGGAACAATTAAATAATAAAAAGATTGGAAAGGACCTTATCTCTGTCATAGCTAATGGTGAGTACAGCTTACGCCTTTTTTTAAAAGTAAAATGCATATCTTCTTGGTGACTCTAAGTCCCATCTTCTTCCAAATTCTTCTGGGAGACTATTTGAACTGATCCAGAAAACAAGAACCTGTGATCAGACGCCAATTCTTTTTCCTTATGTACAACAACAACAACAACAACAACAACAACAACAACAACAACAACGTCTTTTATTTAAACACGGTGGATTTTAAAGCTAATATAGCTTATGGGGCCGTGTAAAACATGTTAATAGGATAATAAAAAATTGAAAAATGCAAAAAGATATGAATAAAATCAATAAAAGACGAAATCACTGTCAATCTGGGGACCCATTTGCGGTGACTCTTCACTAAAGTGCAAGTTTCCTGAGGGCGGGAGACTTTTTTGCCCTGTACAAAGGCCATAAAGTCTTCCGAAACTTATATCATAACTACATGTACCCTCACCCTTTTGATCACACTGGACGATCTACCAAAATTGTTACTCCTGGTTTCCAACCATTTACTAAAATGATGTAAGGATTTAGTTGAGCTTGGAACTGAGAGTTTAAGCGTATGCTGGCAATCAAATCGCAATTAAAGCATTCTACATTTATACTTGCAAAAATTTTTGGACGTGTTATTTCTGACGTTTGATGTTCTGACACCTTTTATCTCATTTCGGACAAATATTTCAGACGCTTTACTGAAACATAGTTTATGTAAATTCATGCCTACAAAACACGAATTAGACTGAAACAAAACCTGTGTAAAGGAAAAAAAAATTCAATTTTTTAGATCCCACAGGGGTAATGATACATAACTTGGAAAAAATTTCAAACATTAAATTTTGAACGTTATATTTTGGATAATTTTCGGACGTTATCTCTTCGGTGAAATTTCTGAAAGATTTCTTAGACACATTGCTGAAACATAGCTGATATAAATTTACCTCCTCAAAGCACATTTTAACCTGAAACAACATCTGTGAAAATAATGGTTTTACTGCACCCTCAAGACTCAGCTAAACTTAGCTTAAGGGTGCTATGATTAACACTTAAGTCCTACAAAACTTTGCACCAATTTTGTGATTTCTAGTCATTTCTTTTGTCGATTTAAAGAGATTTTACTAATCAAAACAGGATTCTGAAATTAGCATCTCAAGAAGTTATCAAACTTGCAAAAATTGAAAAGGCGTTAGGTCCCGCTGTAAATAGAGACAAAAGTTAGCACAGAACCTCAAAAATATTGTTTTGATTGCTTTACGAAACCATGCATGAAATGCTATTAATTGATGTTGTTTTGTAAATTATGCCAAAATATATAGCATCAATTTTAGTGGGGGTTGTTATTTCGCATAGGTTGCAATAATTTCACCACGCTGGTATTCCTGTTCTTTATAACTAGGGAAATAATATACGTTAACCGTCTAACTTAAACATTAGCTACAGAAATGCATTACGACTTATACTTTATTGTGATTTTTCCTCCTAGATTCAAAAACGAACATCGGAACGTTCACTGGAATCACCAAAGAGTGAAGCAAGGCAAAGCAGATCGTGATAAACTGATTTTGGATAAATGCTGTACTTTTTTAGTGTCCGATGAAAAAGTCGACACAATTGTCTTAGATTAAAAATTTTCGCTTTAAAAGCGAACGAATCTTTCAAAGCGACTGGGAAAAAAAGTCAGAAAAGTCTTTTGGCAGGAAAATTTATCAAGGTTAAAGATACTGCGCTTTTAAAAGATACAAAAAGTTGGAAAAAAAACTAAGTCTTTTGGCGGGAAAATTGACCTTAGGAAAAAAAAGTCTGCGCTTTTGAATGGGGTGTGGTCTTAAGTTAAAAATATACTAAGTCTTTTGTTGGGAAAAATCTTGCTTTGTACAACAGATTTGTCCCATCAAAAGTCAAAGTATATGGTTGATTTCCGACTAGACTCTGTTCAAAAATGCAGAATTTTTTTCTTTTTGGCAACCCTATATAGTCAAAAAATAGTAAAAGAGATAGCCTACATTTCGACTAGTTTCCAGGCCCCTTTTAAAAGCGCAATATTTTTTTATTTCTTTTGTAAAATGAAAAACAAAAGAGAAAAAGCGAAAAATAGTTTTAAAATATTTTGTTTTAATTTTATTTTTTTCTACCATTAATGTAATTTACAAGTTTTATCAAGGTAAACTTGTTTACAACACTTAGTTGATACATCATGCTATTAAAGAAGTTGAAAAACTTCAGTCTGAAAATGATTTGCAGAAACTAATAACACAAAATTCCTTTATCAAAAAAACACTAGCTAATAAACACCCAAACATTATTACAAATAATACGAATCTCGAAATGTCTAAGTAAAAAAAACTAAAATACAGACTAGTGAAAAAAATATCATTTTTACGAAGGATTGTTATACTAAATGTCGAAGTTATTGATAAACATTAAACTAAATTCAAACAGGCGCATTACTTTTGTACCTTGGTTTCAAGTAACCATTTGCATTTCCAAAACAATTACATTGAGTTTCATGGTCAGCAAAGAAAAAAATAATAAATCGATATGTCACGGACTATACAGTTCATACGCTAACTTTCATTTTTGAAACTTTGTTGCTAAAACGATTTCCTGCATAGTTTAGTGCTTGTCGAAGTTGACAGTCAATCAAACAGTCAAATTCAAGAAATTCCAGCCGTATACACGAAATTAACGACACACAATTCAAAATCTGATTGATTTGCTGAAAGCTAGGATTTGAGTATAATTTAGTGCATGAGTGTCGCATTTGACTGCAAATGGCTAGATTCAAGACGTCAATTCCAGCTGACTGCTGTAAACAAACAAATAAACGACAATTTCCTCCAAGAAAGTTGTTGGGTTCTGATTTTTTAATCTTAATTAACTTTTCTTAGTAATCTTTTAAATTATGTACATATTTTATTATATATTTTTAAGGTTTTTTTACCCCCCACCCCTCACCCTGCTTTTTATTATTTTTTTTATTTAATGTCTTGCAGTGATGGGAGCATGCCTCCCTTTGCAAGACCCCCATAATGTAGATGTAGATGTGTTTTAGGCTGTGGTTTCAATAAAACTGATCCGCGTTTATTCAACCCTTACAACCTTGAGTTCAAGGTATAAACTCTCTTACCTAATTCCTATACGTTTCTTTAACATTAGTTGTGAGAATTTGGCGATATATCAAGACTATAATTAGACGCAGATTTTCACGTCACTTTTCTACTTAATAATGCTCTGATTTTGTGATCGATGAGGCACTGGCTGTCGACGTCACGGTTTCTAACAATCTAAGTATCTAAACTATTATCCTTTACCTAACGAAGCATCAAGATTACAAACAACACAAGCATGATCCAGAGCCGTCTTCATGTCAGTAGGCATATGGCGTCCATAACAGTCCAGACATGCAAGCCATAAAATTCCAGTCCATTAGGATCCGCAACGAAGAGTCACTATATAAGAAAATACAAGCAAAAGATCAGGTCAACACCTCAGCAATTAAATGCATATTCCACTGGACAAATTGTAAATCTACACATAACGGTCTGAACTACAAATTTTGATAATTACCCTAGAAACAAAATCGACAGTGATTTGTATTAAGTGTCCTTGTTGTGGCAAAACATTTTGCATTTTATGCGCATTGCGATACAATGTATTCACGCTAATAATTTCATGGCTAAGCCGATGAACTCTTGAATTGCATCATCCAGTGATTCAGCTCTTAGCAAATTAGCCATGCGGTCCTACAAGACAAAATCTCCCAATTTGAATCTGTTTACTTCCCAGAAATCACATACGTCTGTCCTGTTGTTGATCGTGAATTTCGTCATAACATTGCCAAAGTAGCTATGGATCGCCCAGTGGCTTCGAAGAAGGCAGAAGAAACAAACTTGAGTGAAAACGCGAGAAAGTCATGTGTCTGTCCGCTTATTTACAATGAAAATTAGCCAATGAGCGCGCGAGAATTTCTGCAGTTATTGTAAAAAAAAAAAACTCATTTGCATTATAATGAAAACCAGCATGAAGGCCAAGGAGAGTGCGGCCTTTTCAAGGTCATTCAAGGTCACCAAACTCCAGAGAAGAGAGAATAACAAGATAGATTCCGGCGTCAGCGAAACTATTTGCTTTATATGTTCTTTAATATTATGCATGATAAAGGCACTCGAGAAATAAAATTCAGTTCGGTAAGTTAGTTGCGCGCAAAACACGTCTTCTTATAAGCAAACCCACAAGAAATTTTCTTGTTTAGAATTTTACTGTGAAAATCGCAGTGATGCTTTTCTCAGTAAAAGAGGTTTTCAAAAGGCCGCAATGCAATCTCGACAAGATATATCCTTTGCAGAGCAAAACCAAGTTTTGAATCTCGGTTTGTCCCTGCAAATGTTCGGTTGCCTTGTTCAAACTCATCTCTTTTGCATAAAAGTGGTCATCAAAGATTATTTGAGTTTGCACGAGCGAGGTACACTGCTACGTAATTGGACAAAGTTTTTGGCAATTTCAACTAATGAAGATTTAAGGCAATTTCTTGGAAATTTGAATCGTTGTCCGTGCCTATTTACAATTTTGTTCACAACTCAGCAACAAAAATCGCCTGTGGACCCTGCCTTTAGAAATCGGGGTGTAACCGTGTGATTAGCATAGCCCGCAGTATTACAAGATCATGAATACAACGGTAAATAAAGTGATTTATGGACTCACCGTTTCTGTTAATCAGAAAGACATTCTTCCATTGTCATTCTCTTAACCATGAAGAACTACAGAAACACCAGTCTACAAAGTGATCAAGAAAGCAATCTAAGTAATCACAACAAAGTTTTTTCGCTAAACACATTCTACCTTGTAAGATAAACAGTTCTTTGGGCACGAGCGTTTTTCTGGAAAATACACCTCTCGTCACCGATTTTTTTCGTTTTATCTTCATTTCTCAATTCTGAGAGAGGATAAAATTAACAAAAATATGTTGTCAATTGCGATTATTTTCAGGATACCTAAGTATTCGGCCTTCTTTACCTTCTTTCAGTAACGCTCACCTTGCTGATAATAAATCGTAGTTTAAACATGTCATTTCGTTGTGTTGACACAAGTACATAGTAAAATCGATGAGTGCACAGTTAGTGAAATTTGCGAATTCAAACACCACTGTAGAGAACAAGAACTCAATCGTATCAGTCCTTTGAACGTTTTCTATGATAGAAGATTGCGAACGGTCGAATGAAAAGTTCTAAATGTTGACGTTACTGAGTGGACAAGACTCGACAAATAATTCAAGAATAGTGCTAATTGTTTCGAAATGATTACCAGCTATTCATAGAGAAAGTTCGAATAAAAAAAAAAGCCAAGTTACCTCTAAAAAATACATTGGTTTCGTGTACAGTTCTTACCTTGGCAAAACGCAAACAACCGTCTTAATCGAAGTACGTCCTTGAGAGGTTTGCTTGAAGTGAATTCTTGTTGCAGACGTTGGTGTTTCGTAACGG